CATCCATTTATGCTTCAAACCAACCAGTAGAATTTGAGGCTTTTCTTTTCTTTCTTTCTGTTGTTTCCATCCGCGAGCCTGCTCACAGAACAAGGTTCAGGGGCCCTGACTGGGAGGGCAAGGCACGGAATCACCACACATAGAACCTGGGAGGTTTCTGGAATCTTCCGCTTTAGTCAGCAAATGCACAGACTTATATAGGGTAAGGCGGGGGTGGAGCCAGGGTGGAGCTATTAGATCGCTATTGCATCAGGTAAGGCAGGGATAGAGCCAGGGTGGAGTCGGAAATTTGGCACGTCATTATTGGCCACATGTTAGTTTTAGGATTGCATGCTTTAGGGGCTGAGGCCAATGGAGCCAGGACTTTCGAGGTTTTTGAGAGGAACAATTTATCTGTCTAAGGTCAGATCTCTAAACACCTAAGGGGGCGGATTATTCCAGCCTTAATAGGCCTCGGAGTTTTCTCATGAGAGATGGGTGTGGCGCTCCTGACTCCGCCAGACATTAACCTGATCCTTTTTTTTTTTTTTTTTTTCTGGGGATGGAACCCAGGGCTTTATGCATGCTAGAAAAGTGCTTGTTATAGTTTCTATCTAGATGTCCCCCCGGGCCTCATTCGCTCCTAGGTGGGGTTTTGGGAGGTGACTGGGTCATGGGGTGCTCTGTTCATCCGTGGATTATCCACTGTGAGTGTATAGCTGCAGGTGAGGCCGGTGAGGCCTCAGGGGCCTGGGGGTTGGACACTGGTCATGCGCTATGTTACTTTCCTCAATGCTAGGACAAAATATGATACCCACAACTTACAGGAAGAAAGGTTTATTTTGGCTCGCTGTGCAGAGCCTTCGGTCCATAGTCAGCGGGCTTCAAGGCCAGCTGGTCTAACGGGTGTGGCAGAGGAGAAACAGCCCATGGCAGGGCAGTGGGAAGCAGAGACAGAGATCGAAGGAGGACAAGAGGGAGCTACAACCTTCCAGGCCACGCCCCAGCGACCCACCTCCTCCACCAGGCCTCACCTCCCAACACCGTGTCTACATTTAAAGGAATTCAAAAGAACACACATGTAATACTGACTGACTGGTGTAGTACTGGGAAAACAACCTAGCGCTTTCACACTGCGCTACATCCCCAGCCCCTTTTATTTTTTATTTTAAGACAAGGTCTCACCAAAGCCACCACATCGCCCAGGCTGGGCTCAAACTTGAGATCCTCCTACCTTAGCCTCCCAGAATACTACAGTTATCGGCATGTGCCGCCATGCCCAGCTTATACAGTTTTATTATGTGAAAATTAAAGAACGGACAGAGCTTAATTCACAGAGAGAAATCACAAAAGTAGGTGCCAATCAATGGAGGAGGTGTAAGTTTACCTTAAAGGGGTTGGAAGGGACTTTCTCGGAGTGCGGAAATGTTTTACATCTTACTTGGTATATTGGATATGCATATCTTGGTCAAAACTGGTTTAAATTGTACCTAAATTTTAAAAATTCACCTCATCTCAAAACACTGAGCACCCAGCAGGCTCCTCAGTGGAAAGGGTTGCTGAGAGGGCAGACGGAGACAAGGGAGGCCTGGGCGCAGCTGCAAGAGGCACCCTTCCCATGCTGCCGTGGGCTTGCTCAGGAGTACTGAGCACCCCCATGGGAGGAAGCGCAGTGGCCCCAAAGGCCTCCCATTGGACAGCTCTGCATGACTGTAATGAGGCAACTAACTTACTGAGAGAAAAGGTTTATTTTGGCTCCATCTTGGAGCTTCCAGTCCATGACCCATGGGCGCAGGGCTACAAATGTGTAGCTTCAAGGCCAGGATGCAAAATGGGAACGGAAGAGAGACACCCGAAGTCCCATCATCCCCTTACAAGGCACAGCCCTGTGACCCAAGCACCTCCCACCAGGCCCCAGAGTCCTTTCAGGGATGCTCCTCCGTCCAAACTGGACCGTAGAGACAGGATGGGTGTCTTTTCCCTGGGGCTGAGACGTGGACATCCAAAGCTAAGCTGTGCCAGGTGGGCGGGCCGCAAAGAGAGGGGCTGTGACATGGGACGAGGGATCCTGGCTCAGATCCACCCCTCTTCCCAGGGTGCCTTCTCCTCTTCTGGTCCCCCTGCCATACCTATCTGTCTCTGGTTCCCACTCAAATCCTGTCTCCCGGGGAGCCTCAGAGGCACTGCAACCCCTGCTCGCCCTCTGCCCCATCCCGCCCTGAGCCCACGAAGCTTGCTGGGATGGCCAAGCCCAAACGCCCCTGCAGCTCCTTGGATAGCTGACCAGGTTCCCAGTCTTCCACCAAATCCAAGCTGCTGTACGGTGGGTACATTAAGAAAGATCATTGCCACTTATAATTGTGAAAGATGTGATGATTTCAGAGATGCTAAACAATGAACAAGAGGGACATCTAAAAAAAAAAAGAAGAAGAAAGAAAATTTAGGTCCAGGGATTTAGCTCAGCGGTTCGGTAGCCTGCCTTGCAAGCGGGCAAGGACCCGAGTTCAATCCCTGGTACCAAATTAAAAAAAAAGAGGGGTATCTAAGAATCCACACATATGGATTCCTGAGGATCGACCCACACAGAGGTTCAGAACTGTGATGGGAAGACCCTAGTGGTCTCCAAGTCCATTTGGTGAGTCTGAACTGTCAGAACTGTTTAATACATTGTCTGTCTCACTTCCCTTCTGTTAGCAGACAGTGGAAACTTCCCCCTCCACCCAGAGCTACACTTGCATCACATTGCTTTAAAGGTCAATGGAATATGTATAGTCTTGTGTTTTACATTTTTTCTGAATTGTAATGTCACGTGTGGCGGGTATTGGGAATAGAGCCCCGGACCTCGTGCCTGCTAGGCAATGTGCTACCCTACCCAACTTCCAGTCCTTTTGATAGAAGGGAGAGATGTAACTCCCAAACCTACCAGACACCCAAAATGTAAGTTCTTGGTCTCTAAAATCAAAGAATGAATTCTAGGAACAATGGAGGTTAAGCGTAGGAAAAATTTATTGAGAAAAACAAAGCTTCTGTCTAAGAGAGACAGGAGGACTTTGAAGTGGGTTGCGCACTCACCCAACTTCTCAAAGGTGTTTTATGGGACAAAGTCAGGAGGTGAGGCAGGTTTAAGGTAGGACAAAACTGTAGTCAACCAGCGAGATTACAAGTACAGTCCCTTGGGTAATACTGGTCTGATGAAAAAATGCAATGTGGATGAAACTATGAACAACCTATAAGATTATGACAAGTAGAGTCACTCAGGTAACACTGATTAAATGGGGATCCAATGGGGAAGCAAGCTGTGTAGCAAGCCTACAAGGAAGGAGCAAGGACTTTCGGTAAGAGGTAGGTCAGGGATCTTTCTAGGAAGATCTGTCCCCCACCCAGGTGATTGATACCTACTCAGAATATCAATCACTGCTATTTATCCTATGTGGGTGTGGTAGTTTCTCTCCTTTCACAATGCTGGCCTTCAGTGACTATGTCTTGAGTGTCCTACATTTTGGCTCCTCCTGGTCTGGCCCTGTCTAACTGCCAACAAAGTATCTAATTAACTTGCCTATCTGCAATACTTTTACACAGGGTCTGGCTAAATTGACCATACTGGCCTTGAACTTTCAATCCTACTGCTTCTGCCTCCAGAGCGGCTGGGATTCCAGGTGTGCACCACCTCACCCAGCTCTGAGTTTTAATTTCTGACAGTAAACATCTAAGCGCTTTGCTTAGAATATCTAGAAGTCACTGTGCTAGGATGTGCACTGGGACTCATCTGGCAGGGCCCAAGGTCAAGGGTAAGTGGAGGCACCAGGAAAGACAGGCAGGCCAGCAAAGGGACTTGACAGGGGCCAGTAGGGAAGGCCTTGCAGAGGAAGTTGGCTTTACACCTGCCAACCTCTGGTGCACAGATGGTCCTGGCTCACCTCAGAAGTCTGCAGTCTCCCAGCTCAGCACCCTAGGTTGACTCACAGTTGTCACTGCCACCCAGGTCAATGTGTAGATCCCAGGGCCTGTGACGAATGAATGAGGTGACATCTCTTCCAAACCATTCCCACGTGCCCATCCCCTCGCCCAGTTCCCTAGGCTGGTGGCCTTGCAAGTTAGAGCTTTTTCCCTGCTTGCCTTGCCTGCTGTCCCCAAAATCTGAGTCAAGGTGTCTAGGACCCAGGCACCAGGGCCCCCCAAAACCTGATGGGTAGGAGGAGAGGCCAGCAGACTGTCCCCCGCCTTCCACGTGTGCCCAGCAGCGGAGCCAATGCCGCGTGTGGATTGCTGCGCGCGGTCCCAGCCCTGCGGATCTCCTCCCCAGCCTCACGTTCCACCACCTGCGTCCGGCAGTGGCCCGACAGGACCTGCCTTCCAGCGGCCCCCAGTGCAACCCGGGATGCTCGGGTAGCTTTCGCAGGAAGGAAAGATGGAGGGAGAAGCATGGGGAGAAGGAGGGAGGCAGGATGAATTCAGAGCTCAGGATGGAGGCAAGCACCTAGTACACGGCCTCCAGGCCTTCTCCCCCAGGCAAGGGCGGGCCCGAGGAGGAGGCCTGAGGAGCAGGTACGGCGGAGGGCCAAAGAGGAGCTGCAGCGAGCTGGGGAGACGGGGACCTCGTCGCGGCGCCAGGCGGTCGTGTTGTAGTCTTGCGTCGCGCGGACCGGGTTGTGGAAAGTGGGCGAGAAGGGACTGGGCC